ATACAAACAGCCCTCGACAAAAGCGCAACAAATTAAAAAAAGAACCCCACCAAGAACCAAATTCTCGATTGGTTTAACCAGAATAGTCAAGCCAGGCTGCGTCCGCGATGTGGGGCCAGAATATAAGACGAAAAATATTTAAATATTGTTTCATATACTTAAATATCAATATGTTGTATTGTGTTTTCGGACTGTGAACAGTAAGTAAATATTTTGTATATAACTATTTGTTTCACAATAAACGATGTAGGTGGCCCTAAAGTAATAATTAACGGCGGGTCCCAGGGCCGAAAAAAAAGGTATAATATCATGTATACTTACCATAGCTGATAAATATGTTGTAATAATTATATTAAAAGTAATATAATAAAAAGTGTTTAAATATTAACTCATGATTTTGGTTCTTTCACCTTGTTAATAAAGTTAAAGTAAAGTGAACGAAGAATACAGAACCCTCAAAGTTTCTATGTTACCACAGTCAATTTATTCTATTTTATTTATATACCTATTTTTATAGTTTATGGTTTTTGTTTCAAATTCATATATGTTTATTTCAGTTATTAGTTAGTTATGAAAGACCAAAAATATCAACGATTTCCCCGTTATTACACAAATTCAACTGTCACTGTTTACAGATGACACTTTGTTCTATGCCGCAAACAAAAATTATAAATATGCAATTATTCGTCTCCAGAAGCAAATCGAAGTCTCAATGGACTAGTTAATGTAATAAAAACTCAAACTAAACGTCACAAAGACCATAGTGGTACTCTACGAAACAAGCAGCTTTCTATCCAGTCCTAAATAGCAAAAATGGAATCCCAATGGACAACCGGCCGTCAATCTATAAAATGTACATTAAGCCGATTATAATGTACGCCACAGCGATTTAGACACCTTCCTGAGCGATTTAAACTGGTAATAAATAGAGGCACTCCAAAACGTCGCCTAACGTACTATAACTGGAGCCCACAACTAGTCAATAACCAGTCGCTAAAAAGAGCACTAGAGATCAGGACAATTCAGGACGATGCCAGGTGAGCCGCACAAGTCACGATTCGCCATGTCCAAGATAAATACTAATTGAAAATCCTAAGTTGAAAATCTTCGAATGTGACCATGTAGTTGCTGATGTTTCAGACTCATCGCAGAGTCCCGACTTCAGAACGATCAAACATCATCAAGTTGATCATATTTTAATCTATATGAAAGCTTGAACGCATCTGTCAGCATTTTTTTTTTTTGGTCTTCCGTAAAAAACTGATTTGTAATAACTAACGTTTGAATATTAAAACACACTTGGCTGAAAACTATTTTAACTATTTTGTATTAGTGAGACATTGCCGAATTCAGTCATACGAAAGTCAGACGGGGGACAAAATAGCCGCGCTTAAATAGCGAACGACAAATTCAAAATATGCAACAGATACCAACTTTACTAGTGAGTACACGGCACGTGTCAATGATGCCATTTCGATAGAAAATGTCAAACGGGTACACTTACTCTGTTTTTGTGGTTTTAGTCGAAACCGATCTTACGCACCACCGTGAGGACCCTGAGAGCTCCCGCGAGCAGGTTCATGTCGGACAGTTGCTGTAAGCCACCTTGTCCAAGCGTGGCCAATCAAGAATGCGTCAAGAAAGTCTTGCAGTGTCAGCGACCGATACCGCCAAAACCGGTGTGTACGCCGCCCAAAGGGGTGAAGCTGGGCAAACCGTGCGGCGACCGGGTGTGCATGCCCTGCTGTCTCCCCATCGACAAGCCCGTGACCAACATACCCGTAGCCGACCCTAGACGGCCGAGGTGCATTCAGCTGTGCCCACATCCCGCGTACGCCGAGTGCAACTCGTGGAAATACGAAAAAAGCCGAAAGTGTCGCGGTGGTATACAGTGTATGCCGGACGACCATGTCACATGCATGGGAGAGTGCTTCAACATGCCCACGGAACATGCGCTGACCAGGAAACATTACATGGACAAGCAGTGTATGGGCTGTAAGGGCTGTGTGACACTGCCGAAAAAACCAGACCCGTGCTGCAAAGACGGATGACCGATCGACTATAGAATTTGCTCAGCACCGCTGAGACATGTAGGCCCGCACTGGCACTAAATTAATTTAAACAATTATAATGGTGAATATATTTTTTTAACTCGGATGGCCACTTGTTATCAACTATTATTGATCCGCCAACGGGCTCCTCTCAAGGCGGTTGGCCCTATGAGGTACGAGGCGTAAGAAAATGTTAAATGAATAAATAACAATATGTTTGTTGTGTTGCTGAAAAAACTACTTCGCTATTGCTAGGTACTAATACATTATTCTTACTTTCTGGCCGGAAAGTACATATACTTATAAACTTAACTAAAATATTACAAAAAACGGTGTTTAAACTAAACCTAACCTGATAGAGTTACAATGGTACTGAGTTGGATGGTTTCCCTCGTACACCGGTAGGTCCACGACGGTGCTAGCGAGAAGTCATTATAGGGTAGTGTTAATATTTCATAGTTTAAAAATTTAGTCATCAAATTATTGAATAATACGTCACGAATAAATAAACGCGGGTAAAAAATAGTATCCTTAGTTATAAGGTTTTTTTTTTATTTCTGACAGGCTGAGAATGGAACGTTTTCGTTTTCCTTTCCTTTTTTTTCTCAAACTACGCCTAGTTTTGTTCTAAGGGGCAACTTAGGGAGTTAGTGCCTTATACTTAAATTGACATTTACTCGGTCATAAGACATTTACATGTGCCTTTATATCCGCTTGTAGTGTGTTTACATTAATATCAGTAATAATATTTTATACTTGTATAAAATAGTTCTCCATTTCTCATTTTTTAATATAATTAAAATTTTTTATTCTGAATTAAATTTATATAAATAAGGGGTTAGTGAATAAAGATGTTAAGTGACATAATTTGTAAAATATTTTTTAATTTGCATAGTTATAAAAATAATTAGGATAAACTACACAATTTAGCAAAATATTATAATAGTTGAATGTGTGTTAAGCTTAAAAAGTTCAAAGCATTTGAAATTTGCCTCTATAACTGATTTTAAATTAACAGTTAACACCTTTATCCACTCACCCTTTTATATAAGTTATGAAATTCAAGGTTTTTTTAAAGATTTATTTTAAAAATGTATTTTTGTTTAGCGTAACTTTTTGATTAAAATAATTATAAGCTTTAGTCGTACAATAAAAATCTCATTTTTATTTTATTTTACATAATTTGGAAACATTTCATGAAAAACTAATGAGATATTTCAAATAAATAAATTCCATGAAATATTAAACTTTATTCTGATACATCATACTATTTACTTGTTTGATTAATAACTTGTTTAACAAGTAATAACCAAAAATTCTGAAATTTTTACAGCACATATGTATGTAGAAAATTTGGTAAAAGTTTTGTAATGGAGATTTTTTTTTAGAGTTTCAAGTCCGTGGCCACATTCACGTTGTGCCGTTTGGTAAGCAATCAACATTTACGACTTGTAATTGTTATTTATACTTTTTTTTTGCTATTTTAATTCTTAAAAACTAAAATGTTTTTTTTTTCCTTTTTGAGTTTGAATTTAAATACAATTTTTTTTATAAACGCTCACGGTAAAATCACCAATTTATTTTGTTTTAGGATCACATCTAGCCTATTAAGTTAAACGTTAATTCGATTTTCTGTCATGGAAAAAAGGCCTGCAGGATTATACTGATACATGTAGATAAACTTAGTAGAATGACGTCTGAATTATTAGAAAATATAATGGTAGTGTAATCAAATTATTTTTTTGACCAGCTTATTTAATCTTTATTAATTTATAATTTGACTGAACCATTTGTATAATCTACTTTTTAGTCATTATTAAATAGTTTATTTTGCTTTTGTTTTGGAGATGTTTAACATAAAGAATTATATACATTTTTTTTAGTTTTTATACAAAAAAATAATAATAAAAAATGGATTTTTCAAATTGATTGTAGAAACCGGAATTTTTACTAGTTAATAAGTGCTAAATATAAAAAAATATACCTACATACATCAAAAGTTTAATTTTTTGCTATTTCGATTATAGGACTAATGTTGAGTGGTCAACTACTGGTATTACTTTTATAAACATTTGTGTACACACTATAATTGTTAATAAACATATTTAAAGTAATCAGTATTAACTGTGTTTTTATATGAAATTCAACTTGTATAAATCAAGTGAACTCGGAAAAACAACATAAATTATACATATTATACATATAGTCTAAATAAACGAAACAAAAATTCAGCTGCAAATATTTGTAATGATTAAATTAAGGTGAAGTACTGACACAATTATAGTTTATTTCTAAAAAATACTTTTTATATATAATAAATTATTTACAAATATAAATTATTTTTTTGGGAAATTGAAAAAATAACTCCACCTAGCTTTTTAGTTAAGGGGTAGTTTTTAAAAACTACATAAAACTTGAATTCAGTGATCCCAAAAACTTGATGAACAACATGATTTGTCTTGACCATTGAAAAATTACCCCTTAGCCCGATAACCCCTCTAGCTCCTCAGTTAGGATGGGTTGTTTTAAAAATGGGTACCGAAAATGATTTCGATTGTGGTAAAGTATCATTATATATTATCATGTGTCCTATTAAAATGTAATGTCGTCTGAAATTCCCTTGTCAAAGTCAAAACATTCCAATGATTTCCATCGAACCGTATCTCGGTCGGGTTAGGTTTGATTAACACGGCGACAAGGTCGAGGACACAGTCGAAAACAAGATGATTCGACATTATTATTATTAAACACTATTATAATATTATAACGTATAGGATAAAATCAAATACAACTAATGTAAATGTGCGAAATCAAAATCAAATCGACATTTGTCACGGTTGTGTCCGTAAAATTCGATTTTGTCGCGTTGGACTGATAATTGTTGTACCTATTTAAAAGCCGACTGACAAATCACATGTGAGCTATTGTCTCAGTGTTGTGTGCCCGTTGTAGTCGGTTTAACAATATTTAATACACAGTATTTATCGATATTTTTATTAGAAATGTTTTCGACCTTAACGTACGTTCAACAACAGCGACTTTTCAAAGAATTCCCCGAGCTGTCGCCTAATCTCATCAGACGATACGAGAAGACTTTTATCAGGTAAGCGACAAGAACCGTGTAAGCAAAAACATCTCATTTGCTTGAGGTCATGTTGGCTGTAAACGACAATGCTGAGCTATTATTTTTTTTTTAGTAACTTTCAATTTGACGAGCTCCTTATTTACCGAAACATTCAAGTTACACCGAAAAGTTTCATACATTATTATAGTTAATTCGTCGTATATAATTGCTGTTCTACAAATATGTAAAAAAATTGGTACTTTGATGAATTTAAAACAAGAAATAGTTAATAGATCTTCGTTGTCAATTTAGAATGTTTATTGCATAAAATAGTTAGGCAACGCTATTTTAAATACAAAATACAAAAAACTATTCAAATTATTAATAATTAATATTCAGCCTATGAAATTATTCAAACATAATATTCATCGTATATCCATAGGAAAAAAGTCTTACAAACGTTTGTACTAAACTTAATGGCATACTAAATAAGGAAATATATATTAGCTGATTTTATAATAATATATTAAATAATTATAAATCAAACAAATAAACCAACTAAATTATTAAGGTACCTATTGTTCAATTTATTATTATTTTATTTCTTTAGAATCAGAATATTGTATCACCATTTATAAGTAACTAGCCATAACTCATAACACAGTAAAACATGACTAATACAATTTTAAATTTAAAGTCAATACATTTTTTAATATAAGTCTAGTAATATTTTTTAAACAATTTAAATATTTAATTAAAAATTGACCAAAAAATTATATGGTAATTCCACCAAAAGAAGTAAGTTTAAAAAGCGTACAGTTTTATAATATTTTGTTTGGCGTTTTAGTATATAGTATAAGACAGTATTTTGGGACGAAGAAATTTAATTTACCAGGTACCTATATTTTTTTCCATAGCCAACCACAGTCATCAATTAGTCGGTCATCTTTGCCTGACTTGAAAAGCGTCTTGTGTTTACTACATGGTTTTTTTAATAAATATAATCGAATCAATAATAACGTTTCTGTTGTCGCAAGAAGTCAGTAAATGTTCAAACAACAATACCTATTTAGCTGAAATTAAAAAAAAAATAAAGTTTTAACCAAACGCCTTTTGCTCTGGTTGTTCATTTTAAAGTCAATCGTTTGTTTAAGTGCTTATTTTTAGAGTGGCCTTTTGTTTAAGTGAAGTTTTTCAAATCAAAAGTAATAGTTGAAATTACCATTATTTAGAAGTTTACGGTGTCACGCAACATACATAATAAGTATCAGCTAAATCATTGTCATTTTCAGTTAATATTATGATTTAAACGTACTCCGTTTAAATAGGAAAAAAAGGAAGAATTGAACAAATCAATAAATTATTTAGTAATTTTAATAACAAAAATATAAACTACTACTTTAGAATTTACAAAATCAGACTGAGACGATTCAGAGTGTGATATTAGTAATGACTAATGAAGGTAGATATTTTCATCTATCATTAATAATAATAATTCATATGTTGTTAAAGTAAATGTTTTGTCAATTATCAAATTTTTTTCGATTTTTTGTCTGTTACATGGTTTTATGTGTTCAATTTATTAGTGTATAAGATTTAAAATTTGTACACAAAATACCATATACCAAGTAACAACGAGACTGAGTTAGTCAGAAAAAAAGTATCTGTGATTGAATTTAGTTGTAAAATATGTATGAGGAAATACTACAAGACTTTTTTTAAACAATTTATTTACTTTTAATTTGAAAATTATATAATATGTCATATTATCCTGTATTATGAACTGACTTATTACTTGTGATACAAACTTTATATAGGTACTGTGTTAGTATCAGTATTCCTCATAACAGATAACGTAAAAATGTTTTGTGATATTACTATACTAATTATCTTACTGTTATTTCAGTGAGTTCACACTTCACTAGTCAATAAAAATATGTATTAACCCTGAGCCCAAAATTATTTTTACCTAATAACTAAATTGATAGTTAAATTTTCATACAACTCTTGAAAAATAATAAAAGTTACCAAATACTAAATATCTTACAATAAATCTTAATAACTTAAACAATTATTTAAATAAATGTTATCGATATTACAAATCTAAACTAATAATAATTAAATGGTAGGAAGTTCAAAATTGTTTTTACTGTAATAAAATTATACGTTACTGTACAATTAATTTGTTTATCCACTTTTCCTATTTAAATTTTTATTTTTTTTACAGTTTTAGCTTCGATTGGTGTTAAAACAATGTTTCTTTTGTGTCTCTGTAAACACGATAAATTGTTCCTCTAGACTTATTTACTTGATCAACACCTATATAGATTTGAAATCGTATGCGATTAGTACTTTGATGGGTCAAAATTAAGAAAAGGCTACTCCTTCACCCATTAAACCGGAAAACCCCGAAAAAATTTACCGGTTTTTTAAACTTCATCTTTGTCTTGCTTTATCTTGGCGAAAAAAGGTAGGACCGAGTCAACAGTTTAATAGGATATATTAGGCATGCTTCTATCCATCTTCTATAAATTAAAATCTGAAATTCGATAACTCTGCACCTCTTTATATCTTTTTGTATTTTTTATTTTTAGGCGCAAATTTAAGAATTTAGAACCGAAAATTTGACTGAAGATAAGTTTAATATAGTTCCACAACTCGTATAAAAAATAAATCTGTAAGCAGATTTTTTTTCTCAGTTAATTTATGAAAAACTTAAAACTTCAAAAATTTTAATTTTGAACACTATTTTAGATTTATGAAATTTAAATTTAGTGTACATCTTTTATTTATTTTAGTCTTAATTTGTTTTATTGTATAGATAATAATCTGACCTCACCCCCTTTTCACGCCACAAATAAAAGGTAAAATTAAAAACTGAAATCAGCGACCCTAAAACATAGTTTGAAGTCTTTAAAAAAAATACTGCGCAGTGCATAATATTTTACCTAGATAACATGTCAGGCCTCTGAGCAAACGAACAAGCAACATGCAAATTAGGTCAGTTATTGGAATCATTAAGGTACTCTTTACCTCGATTTAAATTATTCCAGAAATTGTCAATTTCTAATTAGTACAAAGCGAAACTGTACGTTTTCAGTTAGAATACATTTTTCTCAATCATTTTCGACTACATCGACATAAGAATTTGGCAATTATGATGAATAATTGAAAGTAAAATTTTTTTTTTTTACTTTGAGGTATGACACTAACAACGACGGATACTTGGACATAGACGAACTTAAGAGCATGATGATGGTCAGAGGTGTACCTTGGACTCATTCGGCAATCGTACGGCTCATAAGAGATGCAGACGAAGACGGTGACGGAAAATTATGTTTTCGAGAGGTAATGATAATAAAATACATTAAAAAAAAACAACCTATATTCCATCGATAATACATTTTGCCATAACAGGTTGAGTTTTAGACTTTTCGGATAATTATGTAGACAACAAACACATTATAATGGACATAATTCTTGAAATATAGGTCCTGGGAACTGTTTAAAAAAACGGTACACTGTATTATAAGAGTATTTATTACAAATTAAAATGGCTACAACGTGGATGTAAAAATAACCGTCCATTTCTACTGGACGAATTCGGTTTAAAGACCATATTGTGACTTTTGTGTGATACTTGGATTGTTTACAGTTTTTGATAACTCATCGAAAAAATGCGGAATGGGCTCGACGCGTGTTGTGTTCTTTACCCGAAATCGACGTCGGCCGAGTAGGAGTGAGAGGAGCTAAAAGATACTTCGAAGCCAAACAACCTCAACCAGAAGTCCACCACGCCAAACATAATATACATTGATGTCAAAACGCGTTAAACTAGGTGTGTATTTAAGTCTGACTAACTTTATGCCGTTGTCAAAATACAGGGTTGGGCAAGCCATTAAGTGAAAAAAATAACGATTAAAATAAAACGAAATGATTTATTTCAATGACTATAAAGTTCGAATAATATTATTAAATTTATCACGAGTACAAAAGGGGAATTATGATTAAAAATTAATTAATTTAACGTTAACTTTTTTTTAACAAAACAGCATTTATTTGTATTTTATAAAAATAATATGAACCGTTAACATAATAATATATAGTTTACTTAACTATAAAGACCAATATTTTGAAAAAAAATGAGCAATATTTACAAGTAATGAATTTACAACAAAAAAATATCTGACTTACTGAGATAGGTAAATTATAGCTGAAATAATACTTAAATAATTGAAATTATAAATTTCAGATGAAAAATGAATAATTGTCACTAAAGAAATGGACTAATCGAATAATTAAATAAACTGATATTTTCTAATTTATCAAAGTCTACTCTCAAATCTGTCAAAATAATGTTACATGTTCAACGACAAATGTTTAAATCGTTAAACAACTGGTCATTTTTCAGTGTTTTATTAAAATATGATTATTTCAATAAAAAAATATGATATTCCACAGACAGCTCGACAGCAACACCATTTTCTGATCATCTAAATAATCTTATCGTCAACATAACAAATGTACTTATTACTGTGTGATTTATTTTATATTTTCAGTTACCATAATATGAGTCAAGACATTTAATCAAGGATAACACAACGCACAATGTAATTAGATATATAATTTAATTTTTAAGATATTCTTGAAATACTTAGATGATGTATTTTTCAGTTTTTTTTAATATACACATTATGCTTGTACACACATAATATAATTAATTTATTATACATAAAAAAAAATTATATATATATATTATATTCTACACTGATTGAACAAACATATATATTTTGTTTGACTACTGTTAATCTACCTACCAGTCATAAATTATTAATGGATTATTAGGTTAATTAACGTCGAATTTGAATTGGACAAATCGTTGAACACCGGTGATAATGGTGTGCTTAAACTTAAATGTTTAAAAAATAAAATTTCCATGCTGGTACCTATTGAGTTTGTTACAAAAAAATAATGTCTTTACAAATATACGAACAACTTTCATTACTTTCATTTTAGTTCATTTGTTTCACTGTGTTATTAGGTATATCCATTCTATGTTTTCAGAATATCTACATATATTTGGCTTTACCATTCAATCGTATCCTCGTCCCCTTCACCAATGGTCTCTGATCCTTTTATTTCCAATAAGTAATAAATATGCTGCAATGAGACACTCGAAGTTATAAACTTGACCGACTGCATAGAGCTAATTTTTTCGGATTATTTTCGTGATTGGCCTATCTACAAAATACATACTTATTTTTCCAAATTAATAATTATAATACACTGAGTACCGATCAAAAAATACTTTTTCAATATCATTAATCTTTCTAACTAAACTCCTAAAACAAACATCTTATACGTGGATACCTAGTTATGTGCTCGATTTAGACTGTACTAGTTTGGATTGTGCTTGGATTAGACTGTGCTAGTCTATACTGTGTAAGTTTAGACTGTACTTAGTTTGAACTCAGGCGTAGTTTTTTAACTTGAGGTTTGAAAATTAGACTGAAGGTACATTTAGAATGAGACTCTAATGTATACTATTTTCCAAAAATTTTTTGTCAAACTTTTATTTTATTAAGGAAAATCTAACAAAAAGGGGAAAATTACACTTTAAACGATGTAAATTTCTAAATTCAATTGGTTCATAATAAAATAAAGATTAAATTTGCTGATCAATAAACTGACTGCGCGAATAATTTAGCCAGGGTATTTAAAAGCAAAACTTTTATAGCTCTGAACAAGAAAATAATTCTAAAAATAATAGCGAATCCGTCTAGAAACCATCATCCCATGATGGCAGCGTTGAGACTTAAGCGTTGGCCCGTTAAGCTTAATGATGATGATGAAAAACAATAACTTCTCAGAAACTACATACTTTGTCATAATAACAACTAAAAACTGTACTCATTACTTATTGTTTGTATTTCTGGCTACTATATAGTACAATACAACATTGCTTAGCAACCAACGATGGTGACGACGACCTTAAGTTCGTCAAAACCAAAATCAACTCGCAATCTTCACAGTTTACTATTTTGTTGTATATAATATTTTTTTTGTGCTTGATTTAACTTGTTATAATTATTATTAAAGACCATGCCACTGAGCGTAATCTCAAATGCGATGCAGACGTGCAAGCCAACGGACAATGTTTGTCAGGAAAAACTAGGCTTTTTGGCTCGCTCCATGAACTTTGTATGGGTTTTGACTTCCTTTGATTATGATGCACTAAACGAACTATTGACCGAAGTACACAAAAGCACCCACGGAGACGTTTCCAGTCAAGCCCACCAACTGGCGATTATTATATGTTTATTTTTGAACCAATTTCAGTTATATATTATTTTTTTGGGGTGTTTTGTTTTTATTATTGGTTTTTTGGTTATTATCATTACTTTCATATTGATTATTTTACTATGGTCTATACAATTTCTACTAGTTGTTTTATTGTTATTATTATTTTTTTTTCTGTGTATTCATTTCCTATTGTTCCGTAAAATTTTCTGTTTTTCTAATTTAACAGCAAAACATTTGGGTCTCTTGTTATACTTGTTACAAAATTATATTCATAATAAATAAATCCTATTTCTTTATTAATTAAAAATGTTGCTTTAAAAATATCCAATATTAGCATGTAAATGTTTTATGGCTGGGGTCAGGTACTTTTTTTTAATTTGTCTAAAACTAACGCTGGCTATCACACTCTGACGTCACTCGTACGCAAGCTGTTGTAAAGTGATGGAGTTGGTGTTGAGATTAATTGTAGTGGAACACAAAAGAAATAACAAACAAACACTTTGAGTAATAATAGAGTTAATATTATAGACACAAGTTAAACCAATAATAACAATACAATATAGATATATGTATAAGTCAGAAGTAACAAGCACATTAACAAAATAGTAGCTGTGGAACGAGTGTGTCCCCTTGTCCACATACAAAGGTATTTATATCATAAATCTAGGTTAAATCAATTCATACAAAATACTTTCTAAGATTTCACATACAATAGTGTCTTCCTCGACATACTAAACTAATCACATTAAAACTATCTTAGAATATTAATTACATTTCAACACTCTCCCTTAATTAATATTTTCCTTAATTAACTATTGTCCCAACACACTTGAAACCAGTTGTGGATATTCATAGCTGATCTGATCATCTCGAATCGTTCCTTTGGCAATGGTTTGGTGAAGATATCTGCCAACTGATCCTTTGTCTCCTTGTATTGAAGTTGAAACACTCCATCTTCATACTTCTCACGAATGAAGTGATGTCTGACATCAATATGTTTAGTTCGTTTGTGAAACTCTGCATTCTTAACTAAACGAATAGCACTTTGATTATCTATATACAATATTGGTTGAATACATTCATTATTAGTGATTTCCTGTAATAAACGTTTAAACCAAATGATCCCTTTTACTGATTCTGCCGCAGAAATGTATTCAGCCTCACATGAACTTAAACTTACTGTTGATTGCCTTTGAGATTGCCATGCTATTGTAGAAGAACCTAGCATAAAAAGGTTGCCTGACGTTGACCTTCTTGTCTGGACATCTCCAGCAAAATCTGCATCTGTATAGACACTAAAATCTGAGTTATTTTCAGTTTTATAGTACAATCCAAAATCAATCGTTTTGTTTATGTAACGAATAATTCGTTTTACTATAATCCAGTGAGCTACCGTTGGATTGGATAAATATCTACTCACGTAGCTGACAGCATAACTCAAGTCCGGTCTGGTTACTTGTGATAAGAATAATAAACATCCGACCGCTTGTCGATATGGCACATCCTTACCAATTGGTTTTGATTCTGTTTCTAATGCCGTTGCCCTGTCGAATGGAATCGCCAACTCTTTTGCGTCTTGCATATTAAAACGTCTAACTATGTTAAAAGCATAATTTGATTGATGAATTATTAACGATCCATCGTTCAATTTTCTTATTTGTATCCCAAGAAAATAATCTAAATCATTACTTTTGACCTCAAATTCCTGTTGTAAAGTTGATAATAAAGATTGAATTTTAGATGAACTATTTGACATAACTAATCCGTCATCTACATATATACCCAATATTATCTTATCATTACCGTCATGATTTATAAATACACAAGGGTCTGCTGTGCTTTGTGTTAGATTAAAGCGCAATAAAAATTCTGTAAATTTTTGATTCCAACATCGTGAACTTTGTTTCAATCCATAAAGACTCTTGTTTAATTTACATACTCGGCCTGATTTATCATCATACCCCACTGGTTGAGACATGTAAATTAGTTCCTCAAGAACCCCATTCAAAAATGCTGTCTTTATGTCAAATTGTTTTAATTTCAATTTTTCTTTGGCTGCAACTGCTAAAAGTGCCCTAATAGACTCAAAACGAACTACAGGTGAGAATGTCTCATTATAATCTATACCGTATTGCTGTCTCGATCCATTTATTACTAGCCTAGCTTTATAACGTTCAACATCTCCGTTGCTCGCATATTTAACTTTGTATACCCAAGAATTATTTAAAATATTTTTGTCTGTCGGTCTGTCTACTAACTGCCAAGTATTATTCACAGCTAGTGAATTTAACTCGTCATTCATGGCTTCTGTCCATTCATGACTGTTTTCACCATTGATCGCATCATAATAATTTATTGGTTCCATACCTTTCGCTGTACATGCGGCGTATCTGTCAGGTTTTCGTAGTTGACCCCGGTCACGTAAGTCGTAACGTGGTTCTTCACGTTCTGACTCGTCCGCTACTGGTCGTTGTGAAGTATCGTGTTGAATATCTAAATCACTTTCATATAATGATACATCAACAGTATTGTGACATTCGTTTTTAAATATGACATCCCTAGAATCAATTATAATTCGTTTTTGTTCTAAATATACACGATATCCTTTCTTGTCAATTGAGTACCCTACGAAAATACCTGATTCACTTCTAGGATCCAATTTTTGACGTTTCTCTTTGGGAATATGTGTGTACACTTTTGTCCCAAATACTCTCAGATGTTTTATATCTGGCATTTTATTATAAAATAATTCATATGGACACTTACCTTCCACAGAACTTTTACCAGTTAGATTTATCGTGTATACTGCCGTATTAACTGCTTCAGCCCAAAATGATAAATCCATTTTGTTAGCATGAATCATTGTTCTCGCAGAATCCATAATTGTTCTGTTTTCTCTCTCGATTTTTCCATTTTGAGGAGAAGAGTAAATTTGAGTCTTCCGATGTTGTATCCCAAATGTCTGAAATATTCTAGTTACATCATCATTTAAAAATTCAGTACCATTATCTGTCTGAATCGCCTTTATCTTAAAACCTGAACCTGTTTTAAAACTTTTTATAAATAACTTAAGTTTATTTTTCACTTCACTTTTATGTTTCAAAAAATATACCGTACGAAATCTACAGTAATCGTCTTTACATAGTAGAAAATACCTTGACCCGCCTTTCGATTTCTTTTGGATCGGCCCGCACAGGTCTGCATAAATTAAATCACCTATATTTTGTGAAATATTTGTCCTGGTTTTAAATGACTTTCTCGATTGTTTGCCAATTATACAGTCATCGCATTGAAAAGTGTCGTCTTTGTCTGGTACCTGTATATTATGTTTTAACAAACACGTTCTTACATACCCGATATTTTGATGAGCTAATCTTTTATGCCAAACACGTATTGAAT